AAAATATTTATATTATGGAAGTCCCAAGCCTGATGAGGAAAAAAAGTAAAGAGGACGAGCAAACTTTGGCAGAATTACGTTCAGCTCATCGCCGTTTGCAAACAAAATGTCAGACAGTACAAACCAGTTACATTAAACGAATTAATTTTTTCTTGTTTGCCATATAATAAAAATCTTATTAACTGAGCTTAGTCAGTCTGTATGTGAGAATCTTGACCTCGGTCGTGTGTACAGACCTCACTGCGTTCGGTCTGTACTCCCGACCTCGGTCAAGATTCTCCCATACAGACCTCCTGCTCGGTTAATAAGAGCTAAATATAAACTGGTATTCTATACCCTGGTATAGAGCAGGATTTGAAAAAAAGATGAAAGAATCCACTGTAACTCTAAGATTTTTAATTTCGTCTGCCACAGCTGAAAAGTGTTAAGCTGTTATTTATATTAAATGAGACGTTGCTAGGTCTAACAATTCTACCAATTCGCTTATTTGTTGGATCGGAGTAACTTTGAAACTGACATTCTTAATTTGATGTAAATTTTCACACCGTGCCTCCACCGCACAAGATCGGCACTTTAACAAAAACTCCTCTTTTCTACCTGTCGGCGAAATTCTCTTACATTTTGATTGCGGTTTATTACGCAGACTTGAATGCGAGACAATCTTGGCTGACGATATTGTAACTGTCAAGAGAATTCAGTTCTTTAAAAAATCAATTTTACCTATGATTTCTTAGTTGGTGCCAACCAAATGGTGAACTTAATTAAGTCTTAGTCTGTCAGTCGGGGTGCACGCAGTTAATACTTAAATGAGCATAACGTTTATCCAGGCCTTTTGAATACATCTTGAACGTTTGGTTCAAGCAAGTGTCCGTCTGGATAGCAATTTGATGGCCCATACTTGCTATACACTTGGCTTAAAAGTGATTTCCAAAATCGTCTTAACTAAATTGAAAGTGGCTCAACCTTCAGTCAGAAGTTATATTGAATCAAGCAGTACCTGAAATACCGGATTGATGAACTTCTGCCTTTGAAACGTTCTTCAAAAGAGGACAACGGCGTAAAGATCTTTGAAATTAAGCGTCAAAAGAGCCCAGCATTCTCGCCACGCTTCTGCCATAAATTTCCGTGCCAAAGATGAAGTGTTTTGTTGAAACACCTTGAAAACAGAAAATGAAATGATTGAACGGATGGATTTGCCGGGTACCTGCTAATGAGGGATTTAACAAAAGGATCAAAATAGCGTTTCTAAATGTCTGTTGTTGAAACATCGTCTTTCGGAAATCATGCAATGTAGATACAAATTAAAGATGTGGTTATATATTTTGAACAGGGACTTTAGTCATATTTTCCTATATCGTTCAAATTTCGACTTGCGACTGAGTACTGAACCGATCACAAGGGCCAAACTTTTCACATTAACATCGAGTCAACCTCCTTTGAGTAAATTATCACAAAACATCATAATTAACGTTCTTATTAAGAATTCCCTGTGTAAACCCACCGCTTTTTTCAAAACTGTTTATAATTTACGCGTCGTTTCACATTTTAATCATTCACTTGAAACAAGTATAAATCTGATGAGTGCACTTCACTTAAACAGTCGCGTTTGTGAACAGCAAGAGAGGTATTTTTTCATAGTGTTTACTATAGTTAATGTCGTCAATCTATGATTACTTTTTGCTCACTTCATGTATTCAGTCACGAGTTTCAGCCTGAAAGCAACAGTTCTGTTTTTCGTTCTTATCGAACTTTACATACCTAAAAACTACTCGATATTTCTTTAAAATGTTGATTTTTTTGTTATACAATTACAATTTAATACAAAGTACAAAGTTCGGAATATCTTATCGAATATTTTAAAAAAATGTGCATAAACGATTGAGCGTTGGTGTCTCCTATTGAATTAATTCATACGCGTATTTAACATGACTTCGCACCAGGCCATTCGCACCTTTGAGCGATCAGTTTAATGAACTGCTCTCCTTGTCACAAATTATCGACGTTTAAAAAATATTTCTCATATCAGTAGTAAGTTGTTAGAAGCTGAGCAACGATTGCGATCAACGATTATCAACAACCAGATAAAAAACGATCGTCATCGTTACTTTATCAACAGTGCAGCGTAACAATAGAATTTCTCTCCATAGTATTGTTGACAAACCACATCCCTTACATCTTGAAAATCGAGGGATTCATATTTCGACTTTTCCTTTGTTGATGAACAAATCAGCGAAAATCCAACCAAACAAGATAAATTTCTTGATGAAAGTGACATGAATCAATCTTTGATATTTTACTTGTATCTGACCCAAGTTACGATAGTTCTATAACCGCATCTGAGTTTACGTGAGGAAGGTTTCAACTGTTGAAAATCATTATATTCACTATTGAAGGTATTTCTTTCGGGATTTAGTCAATCGTAATCTGACAAGCAAAAGCAGAAGAAAAACTTGATTTTGGCGCAAACTTTGGCGATCGCGATTCTTGCCAGAACACGAAACACAAATCATTTCCAAGGATAACTAACTAAAAGCAAATCTGAACGAAATGACATGACTTCCTTGCCACTTAACTCTCTTTTTTGTACATAATTTAAAAGAGACCTGTGTTGAAAATTATCACTGAGAGAATAATAAAAATAAAAATAATGGTAGAATATACTTCCATGTTGTTCGGGTTTATGTTTGATTGATTGCATGTTACCACAAGTGTGTTACCGATGCATAACATACAACCGAATATGTTGGTTTATTTACCTTATTTGCCACACAAGAGAAACAAAAAGTGTAACATACCGGAACGGAATTATTTTTAGCCAAACGAAAGGGGACATATCTAACTGGTAAGATTTATCAAACGAAATCAAGATCTTATCACAATTTTTCTTTTTATAATTGTTAGAATAACCCATGCGGAGTCGATTTTCATCTGAATAATTCACACTTAAAAAGACATTTGTTTTTCTTTTCAGCGCTGAAAAGCTAATATAATACATTCAAACGTGAAGGTAAACGTTGCAATTGGTTTTATTGACCGACGCAGCTTGACGTAAACATTAGAGGTTCTTTCATCTAAGACATGAAAATTGAGTGAGCACAAAAGCTGTTCCATATTGCATTAAATCTTCTTTCTCAAATAAGTCTAAATTGGAAACATGAATTATTTCCAATCCGTGGAAGATTAACAAATTAGTGATACAGTTTGCTTTGCTTGCGTTGTTTTTTTTTCTGATTCTATAAATGAATGGAAAAAGCAATTTTCGACTGACTTGTTTGACTGAAATATTGGACGCAAGGTGTAGATTATAAAAACTACGCTTTATTAACAATGCTACCGGGAGTGAAGTACGATAAAGAAAAGAAAGCTGGCTGTTATTAATAATTCACAATTTTTGGTTTTATAGATGGAATCAAGCTAAACTCAGTCCAATCCCACCACCATATTATCACTGCTTCACCTGCAGTTTAACACGGACGTTTCAGTCCTTTTCACGAGAGAAGTTTTCGAATTCATGCGATCAAGAGCCATGATGATCCAAAATACATTCAATATCCTTTACGTGATTCTGCTAATTCCAGGTAAGAAATATTTTTTGCTTCCTACGTTGAACCATAACTACAAAATGCACTTTGTGGTAAGTGAGCATAGATGCCTTCCTTATTCTAATGGATTATCTCTGCTGCTTGAAAAATTGACATTGAATCACGCAGCTAGGCTGGTGACAAATTTCATTTCGACTTCTGCTCTGTAACGGGAATAAAAGTGTTGTGAAAATATTGCGAACCTCAAGGAGTGATATTTTTTCAGGGTTTTTTTTTTCATTATTTAACATCGCTTTACGCAGTTCATGTGAAAACGAGATGAACGCACCACCACAAATATGCAAATTTGAAAAAATGTTTTGATTGTGGTTTACGATGTAATGCCAAGGGAAACTTAAACTTATCTCTTCCTTGTGTGTTGTATATTTTAAAGTCTACACACGGAATTCATTGAAATAAAACTCGTAATGAATTGCTTTAGAGCACTTCGCCTTAAAACGATTTAGGAATTTAATTAAATCCATTTTGAGCACATTGTTTTTTCAGCTGGCAATGTTTTTTCATTTCAAAGAGTACAAATTCAAGCACTTTTTCGGTGAAGTACGAACTTATTTAGAAAAAAAAAACGAACTACCCATCTCGATTTTGACAGAAACATTTCGTGGTGAAAGACAACATGGAGTACAACAAACATATTTTTCCATCTAATGTGAAGGCAACGGCTTAAGCTGACAGTAAACTAAGAATTTGGCTAAATCAGGTTGGAAGACCTGAAAAAAAAAAAAAATCAGCGGAAAGGCATTCAGGATTTACTGTGTGGACCATTAAATATCTGACTATATTTTTATATCTTCAGACTATTGACGTTATAAATGATTAATTGTTGGACACAGGAGTGGAATTCGGTTAATTGATGAAGCAAACAAAACTCGAGATCGCCTTGCCATTATTCACAAAAAGTATTGGTAAAATTTTGAAAGTAAACAAATAGCATTTGTATCTTCAACGTGTAAAGTTATTCTGGTTTTTGTCAATTCATCACTTTGTGGGGAATTGCAACATCTCCTCGCCATAGGGGGTCTATTTCAGCCAAGGAATACCGCTGTCGTCAAAATCCCGTTTCAGAAAGCTATCTACGCAATAATTGTTGTTCACTCCAAAGTGGACTTAGTCAGTTCCTTTAGCGTGGAGAAAAACAATTGTTTGTCAAATCGTTTATAGAAAAACGTTCGCGGAGTTAAAGCTGCTGATTTGTCCTTCTCGTCTTTGTTCACTATAATTAGACCACGCCAGGTCTCCCGTGTTGTTCCAACCATTACGATAGAATTTGTAAACTTTAAAAAGTTTAAAATAGCAAAATTGTAAAGCCATTTCTAGGAAATTTGCAATTTTTTTCTGAAATTTACAAGTATTTTTCTTCAACTGTTTTTAGTCGTAAATTATTAATCTGCTGAGTCGAAGAACCGGGAACTCAATTATTACTCATCACTGAAATGATTGAATGAACATTGCTTCCGAATGGCTAAATTAATCATCGCTACTTACCAGGAACGCCTTAATTGGTTTAGACCAGAAGATTATCAGGTTTCTCTTATCTTGATAATCTCCTGTTTAGACTTGTGACTTAGATTTTTTAAAATCATGTGTAAGTATCTTGCAAAGGACATTTTATAGACGGTCGTGCCATGGCAATAGCATCACAGGATTTGATTGTTTTACTGAATAATCCAAGAATGCTGACAAAATCCTAGACATGACTCGACACCATCTTGGATATTTTAGCAAAGATTAGTTTCAAAATTATCTTTACAGAACATTTTCAATATTCATCCTTGAGATAAAGTGAAAAAATACTAGAGAATAAGAATTACAGAACCATTATTTCCATTGCCTTCTTGAATCCTCCACCACGCCTGTAGGTGAAACTTGGTTTAGTGGACACTTAAAACGGGAGACAAAGATTTTGGAGGCCTTTGAAACAAACTTAGCGAGTTGAAACTTGAAACCTTTGCAAGGGTGTTGTGTCTAACGCGACTTGTTTTTTAGTCAGTTTGCTCGTGAAATTTGCGATGAAAGAGCAGAGTGTTTCAGAGTCTTTCATTTCAAGCGGAAATGCTTAGCTGTGAAACTCCTGGAATTATAACGTATCATGATATAGCTCTGTCTCACAAGGACTGGGAACTACCAAATTCACGAATTGGCTGAAGTCGATATTGGAAGCGGTCTAGATTTTTCCCGATAATGTTTTGCAGTAAAAAAGTTGCAAACTAAAATGAAAAATCATTGACCATTTTCATCTAACAATATTTATTTATGGAAGTGCCAAAAAGCCTTACGAGAGAAAAAAAATAAAGAGGACGAGCAAACTTTGGCAGAATTAAATTCAGCTCATAGCCGTTCGAAAGCAAAATGTCTGTTAGTACATACTAGTTACATTAAACGAATTAAATTGTTCTTGTTTGTGCCATGAATGAGTGAATGAATAACTGAAAGACTTTATTAAAGTGTTAATAGTATTTAGCTTAAATGAAAACTACTTGGGGACACTATTTACACAATAAAATATACCTTAGCTAAAGTTAACACTATTTACAATTTAATGAATAATGTATAAAAAAATAAATAAAAAAATAAATAAATGAATAAATAAATAAATAAATAAAATATATGAACTTAGTAAGATTGAAAAAGCTTAAAAGATATCAAATATATATAAAATGTAAAATTTAAAGCGGCCTAACAGTATATATCCTGAGTTCTTACGATTATCTATTAAGTGTGATAGCTCTCTTAATACTGCTTTTAAAACTCTTAACATTATAGGCTTCTCTCTATCAGTTTTGTCTAATTTGTTCCAAAGATGGGGTCCAAAATATCGTAAAGAATGTTTTCCATAATGCACGGTGCGAAAACGTGGAATATTAAACTCAGCGTTCCTCAGATTATACCGTTTCGGGGTATGTAATAAACATCTTATTAACCGGTCTGTATGGGAAAATCTTGACCTCAGTCGTCTGGACAGACCTCACTGCGTTCGGTCTGTACTTATGACCTCGGTCAAGATTCTCCCATACAGACCTCCTGCTTGGCTAATAAGAGCTAAACATAGCTCACAAATAGTGCGTATGGAAGCAACTGTCATGTGAGAAAACGCCCAGTCAAACTGTTAAATGACAAATGTCAAATTGCCCCGATCTTTCAACTGACAAAGTCCTTTCTAGGACTCAGCATCATAAGAGCCACTCACGTATTTAATAGGAAAGAAAGAATTTAATTTTAGCAACTTTATTTTTTTATTAGCATTTAAAATGCAGCCTTCTTACCAAGTCCTACTTCAGACAACGTGAAACGGTAGATACAGCGTAAAGCCAACACGATTCTTTTTCTACCAATTTAAGTTCACGAACCACACAGCCCTTATCATAAAGCCGATCCCAAACTACATATAGGGTGGAGTTCAATCTAGTAACACAATTTTATCTTACATGACAGGAATCGGATTATCTCATGCAGTCTTAAATGGCAGCGAATACGAATCTCTGTCGCAGGGAGAAGCGTCAAATGCAAGTGTGCACAAATTCTCCGCTGACAGTAGTGGTAAGTGGCTGACACAGTCATTGGTACCATGGAAGTAATCGTAACTGTTGCTATCTTCTTTTTAGTCAGAAATTCAGGATTCTTTTCTTTTCAAAACAGGCCAAGGTCTATCACAGGGGGCGCTAAATGGTAGTGTATATAAATCCCCTCAAAATGACAACGATAAGTAGTGGCAAAATCAACAAACCTTCAATCCGTAACTTAAAGTTAGGCGAATATTAGAAAACTAGCACTAGAATAAAGTAAAACTTCAACCTAATCTTTACCTTGACCACGTCATGTTACAGTGTCATAGAAGTATACAATTGTCCCATGAGTTGAAAGAGGCAGCCTTTTCAAAGTGACTACGATGTCCCCATATCAAAGTTAATCAGCTACTCCTCTAACTGCTGTCGATTTCCTGTGCTTTTGATCATTTATCAGTAACCTTTAGTTTTGTTTTAACAGTTAGGGACGGATGTAAGCTATTTTCGTTCTTAACCATATTTACACCGGGGGCGCACCATGGACCCTCTAATCCTGTTTATATTATTATTGCTCTTGAAAAAACAAAACAAAAACCAAATCATTGCTTTCGAAGGTTAGGAGGGGTTGTGAAAACCTGTCCCGATCGCAGAAGATAAGAAATAGCGCGGTCTAAATAGAGTTGAGATATCACGATTTTGTAGCTTAACTCCAACTTTTCATCATTCTGGTTTAGAAGAAGATGACGACGAAGCGAGACTGGTGCGAGATCTATTCAGCGGTTACAACAAAAATGTTCGTCCCGCACAGGATAAAGATTTGCCGATTGAAGTCAAATTTGGAATTGCTTACACACAGATTGTTGACTTGGTAAACAATTTATTGACATAAACCTTTTTAGGACTGAAGACATTTAAAATTAAGATTAATAAGTTATCCCGGCTCCTAATCATTCTTAATTACGTATCTACCTGTACAAAAGAGAGATTTTGTTAGTGAAAGTTGGGTGCCGATCACTCTGTCAAAGTTCGATCTCGAATGCGATTGACTACCAGTTTAAAAGCCTGTAAATTTATTGCACAGTTGACGTGCATTGGCAGAGTTATACGCCTTAGTCAGTAGGCAAAGCTGACAAATGAGTCGAGTACAAATCCTGTCAATCATTTTAAGCTATTGCTTAGTTACCAGTGTAAACGGTTTTAACACGTCACCAGAGTTCATCGTGGTCGAGTGGGAAATGGAATCAGAAGATGGGAGTCAAGAAGTGCCTATACTTACATAGATCTTATCTAGAGACTATTTTGAGGTTGGTTTGTCATCTAATGTTTATTACTTGCTATAACAGATTGAAAAAGATCAAGTTCTTGTGAGCAATATTTGGGTGAGAATGGTAAGTGAGATAGGCATAATACGAATTCCTGAACAAAACATATAATTCAATGGACTTAGTTTTCAACATCGCTGACATTTTTCACGTTTTTTTTTTATATATCTTCAAAATTTCTATTTTCAAAAATATACGTCATATATACATTTAGGCTTTGATAGATTGTGTTAGCATAATGTAGCATCGATTTTCCGAAGCAAAAAAGCACTGCTGGCATAATTTGCACTTTTGGCCAGCTTTGCAGCACAAAATCATCATCTATTGATCATGCAACCAATTGTTTTGACCCGAGATCAGTGTTACAGGCAAATCTAAGTAACAAAATCAATTTTTTGTCTGCTTATTGTCACATTCATGGGACCTGGGTCCCACAGGAATTGACCCAGGACTCTTTCCATAGACTCAACGCATGCGCATAACTTAGAGCTCGGGTAACCAAGATGGCGTCCGCGACAGCGAGTGGATACAACGAGTGCATACAGTGAGGTACATGTATTTGCCATTTTCTTGTTTGTTGCATAGTTATGAAGTGTTCTTAGCAAATTATAGTAAAAAGTAGAAATATAATTTCTTCATTTTTTGCCAAAATGAGTGTAATTTACAAAACTACCATAATCATTACCCGCATAATTTTAGAAATATACGAGCACTGCTAATATGCTACTTTTGCTAGCACAACCCTATCAAAGCCTATACACATGGCCTGGTTGACCTGATTCAGCTCTAGGAAATTCGAGGTCAAAATGTATCCCCTTACATCATGTGTTTCAACCAGAAAAAAATTGCAGAGAAAAAATTTCACAAAACGGGGATCTTAGCCTAGTGAATAGATGATTTTTTGCAGCATCTTTGCCTCCTTTCATGCTGTACAGCAAAAAGGGTTTAAATCCAGAGTCTGGCAAGTCGAACGTTTTTATTTTCTTGCAATGCTTTCTACTTTGACTAGAACTGGAACAATCATCTCCTGAAGTGGAATGCGTCTGAGTATGGCGGAATAAAAACAATTAACGTCAGCCCCAAATTAGTCTGGCTTCCTGACATTGTTCTTCACAACAAGTAAGTACATAACAGGAATCAGAAATAATTCGTTTTTGCCCACTCCACTTGAGAACTCCTAACACCACTAAACGAGTCATTTTCGTTTCTTTGTCTCGCGTTGTTATCTAAAAGAAATAGAAAAGATTTTCTCGTATTCCCACAACAGCTTTTCAGTTCCCCGAACTTTGACTCGTGTACCCTAGGAGCAGAGTCGCTTCGATCTTTCTAGAAAAGAGAGAGGTGATCCTGCTCTCAGCGTGTTATGTATTACTCGTGTTGTTATAAATTGATAGAAACACGGAGAGAAAAAAAAAATTACTTATATGGCGTCCTAATTATTGGTGCGTGGGTTATTTGGATTAATTATTAAAAGAACCTGGTTAGTATATATTCTCTTTCTTATATCGGGCCATACAGCAACCAAATTGTGACATTTCAACCCAAGACTATAAATGGGCACTCGCAAACTGCTAGGGCAAAGGGAAAAGATTGCTTGAGTAATTAGCTTAATTCCCAATCATCTTACCGCTTTCCTCTTTGTTGTTTTAGCCAATTATCAAATGGCCTGGGGCACCGTAATGAGCAAGCTACAAAATTTCTCCAGGAGGAGAACATAAAATGCCGGTTTTCTTCGGCATATTTTCTCTGACAACCCCCCCCCCCCCCCAAAACAGATAGACCCAGAAATTATGTAAATTCTATTGCTACAAGCC